ACCGGTGTCAACAAGAAAAACTAGTCTTTTTTCTGAAATGGATGTGGATAGAACCACAAAAATCTCGTTGTTGTATATTGTCAATTTTAGTTCTATGGGTTTATTGATATGAAGGACTGGGCTTATTATATTTATTCGCTGTGGCAAAATGTCGCCAGTATCACATTTTGCGTTTCCTAGTTTTTTGAATTTTGGCTCATATCTAAAACTTCTTTTACCGTTATTTCATCATCTTCTTGTTCATGAGTCGTGACCTTCACATTTTGTTGGTTAGCATTACTCCCATCTTTTTTTGGTTGATCGCGATTATTATTTTTATTTCTCCAATTTCCAGATTGAGTATAAGAGCTTGTCGATGGTTTGTCGGGCGAATTTGGTTCATTAACTCGTTCTCGACGATTAAAATTAGAATCGTTTCTATACGAATCACGGTTCGGACGTACATTATCTCTGTCGTTAAATTTTTTATTGTTTTTATTGCCAAATTTATTTTTGTTTCCATTACCGTTTCCATTATTATTGTTATTTTTTCGTCTACATGTACTATCGTCATGATTGGAAAGTCCACATATGCCACATGACTTTATGTTTTTATTCTTCTCTGTTAATTCCTTTTGCATAGCAAGCGTGACGCATTCGTCAAGTGTTTGCTTAGCAGCAGCAGAGACTAAAACTTTGATGGTTGAATTGCGAATATTCTGTTCGAATTTTGCAATAGCTTGTTTTTCATTCATTTTCTTAATAATTTTTCTTTCTGCGTCGTTTTCGCACATTAATAAGGATGCTTCATTTAATTTTTTCAATTTATTTTTGACTCTAGCACCATAATCTCCAATTGATTCTTCTCTTTTCTGAAATACGTTATTCAAGTCTTCTTGCGCGTATTCAATCGAGAGAGGCTTTTTTATGTGGGTTTTCAATCTTTGTTTTAATTTTTCAAATGTATCAATGGCATCGTCAAATGGACCCGCCTTGGTTAAAGCTTCGCCTGTTATTTTGGCTTTAATTATGCGTAATAAAATAGGTTTTTGGTCAGTTTTCACGATTTCATAATAAACTCCACATGTGTTGAGAAAACCATCTAATTGCTTTGGATCTCCTGAGAATACAGGGATGGCTGCAATGATGTCTTTGGCTTCGATTTCCATCGTGGGGGATTTTATCGCGTTTTGTTCAGATTCAGATTTTGATTCACTTATGGTTCTTTCCAATTCTATCAAATTTTGTTTTAATTGATTTATTTCTTCGTTTAGTTCTTCTATTTTTGTTCTATATGAACCATTCAAAATCTCGTCGTCTGTTTCTAGCTGATCAATGTCAAGCTTAGCTTTTTGAAGTTCTTCTTTCGCTTGATCAAATTCTTCTTTTAATTTATTATATTTTTCGTTTGCTTCAATGAGTAAATCTTTTGTGTTTAATAAACTTTCATTGCTACGCTTTGCTTCCAAGATTAAAAAGTTGATTTCTTCTTCTTGATCTTTAATACATTTCGTGTTCTTCTCGAGATTTTCTAAATTTTCTTTTCTTTCCTCTTTCAAGATTTGATCCAGTTTTTCAGCTAATTCCTGATATGCATTAGCTTTCTCTTCTGGATCGGTGATATTAGGAAAATCTTTGTTAGCTTCTGTTTTCTTGTCACTTTTTTCTAATTTTTTAAAGCTTTCTGGTTTATTTCTATCATTTAATCGATAAAATACACTGGATGTTGAATTTGATCGTCTTAATTTTCTACTTGGTCTTTCGCGTAATTCTTTTAACTCTTCTTCATTCATTTGATTACTTTATTATTTTGCATCACTCATGGAAATCACTTTGGGAATCAAAAATCACTTACTTGTTTCTTTATTGAAATCCGCTAATTTTGATGATTTTTCCACAGCTTCTGATGTATTTTTCGAAGTTTTGAAATTTTCCACGTTGATTGTGAATGTTCCAATTGGGATTTGCTGTTTTTTTTTCCTGTGATTTCCACGCTGTTTAAGCTTCTTTCCGTTTGAATTTCGCTATTTTTCAAGTCCTCAGGTCTGTTTTCCTGGTTTTAGTGGTTCTTTGAGTTGGATTTTTGATTTTGTTGATACTTTCAGCTTTCAGCTTTCGAACTAGTTTTTATTAATTCAACTATTCTAGCTTTTATTTTGTGCTTTTATTTTGTGCTTTTGTTTTGTTATTTACACTTTTTGTTAATAACTTTTTATTTTGAATCACTTTGTTTGTGATAAATTCTTTTTTTGTGGCTGAATGTTTTTGCACTTTTTGGTTTTTGCACTTTTTTGGTTTTTGAATCGTTGTACAACTTTTATTTTCCGAGCTCAAGTACAATAGTCCTTGTCGCCATTTGTAGTAGTTGAAATGATACTACGTGAAATGATGGGGTTTAATAAGCTCTTTATTGATGACTTCTTGATACAACTGATGGATTTGAAGTGAAGTAGGGAAGCGCAAACCGCTCATATTTATACCTTAAGCTAAAATGATTAACTGACTCATCACCGTTAATTTATACATTCCGATCCAGAATATCATCTTTGGATCAAAGAGAAATAAATCTACGGTGACTCATTAACAGATGTAGTCCGGAGACGATATTTATATTGCTCCTACTACATACCTTCCCTCTTTAAAATTAATTCCCCAAAAAAAAATTTTTTATATTTTATTGCTCACACAAACATATTTTTTGTTCCCTATCATAAATAAGAATCGGGCTTTTACAAATTTTATATTGATTTTTTTTGTGTTAAATAATAATGCATGGCTATGTTAGATTTCTATAATTTCAAATAAGTGATCATTGATTCAAGAATTTTCCAGAGTGATGTCAAATTAAATCATTGCCTGAAACATAATAACAATCTTGCAAGACTTTTTACTCTTTACAGTCACAACAGCAAAAGCGGGTGACTTTAACAATAAAATAAATGCATATAAAGATTATAATCATTACATAAAATACAATATTGGTGATTACGTGTTGTGTCAATAATACAGGTATATTTTGGACTGCATTGTTTAAATTCGGTGTGAACACAAGTGATCTTTTTATTGGATTATCAACGTCCCGAACATAATTGATCTGAGATATGCCATTGGTTTTTTCCGTGAATATTATGGGGTTTTTATTAATATCACCCATAGAATTTTTGGTTTTGATCAAATCCATGATGACCCCGCCATTCACGACTGAACCAAGGATGAAAATCGCCAAAATAGTAAATGATTTCATTTCTGGAAAGAAATGATCTTTTTTTTTTATTAAAATTTTAATTATTGATAACTTTTATTTGTTAGACATAAAAATATAACCAATTAATATTTGGTGTTTAACCGAATATTTCCCCGAGGGCCAAAAAAGAGAAAAATTTATATTTTTTCGTAATAGATGGAGTTGATGATCACACAGATCGTGAACCTCACGTAGATCGTTCAACGTGATATGAAAATGACAGTGACATAAGCATTGATAGTTATGTGTCAACTTCATATTGTTTGGATGCATTATGTCCAGTAATCACAATTCAAGTGTTCTCAAGTGGTTCTAACGACAATATTTTTATGTGTCTAGATTTGGCTATAAAATTTCTAAAAAGATGCTGGACATTGATTTGATTCCGAAAATGCCTCTCATTATGTATTATGAGTTTGGCTGAATAATATAGTTTGGTTCATTTGAGAGAAAAATATATTTTTAACCGTTTAAACTAAATTTGTGTTGTGTTGATTTGCCCATACCATTGATACAACTATGCCTCCGAAAAAAACGGTAAGTTTGATTGATTTTTTTTTGTTTTGGTTTATTTTTGATGAGATTCTTGAATAATTAATTTATATTTGTGGTGCAACTTTTTAATGAGAATGAGAAGCGTAACCGTATTATCGGGCGTGTCGACTTCTTTGGTGTCATTCCATTTTTTGTATTTCTTTGTATTTCGTGTGGTGCTGTTTTTCAAATACGTGATGCCTCATCGGATTTACAACGCACGCATGGTAAGTTTTTGATTTTTATATCAATTTATTTCATTATTTTAATGCGATTTATATTTTTTCCAGTTATTCAAGGAGCGTTGGGCGATTTTGATAATGTCTTCATTTTTGGCAAAACTTCTTATTGTCACTGTGGCTTACAAATCGGAACGGCATTTACCAATCAGGTTTTTATTACACTGTTTACCATACTTCGACGCGATCCATTGGCATTGATGAGTTCATGCATACCCCCGTTTACGGATTCTGCCGGAAATTTAATACTGCACCGACACTTTGCATATATGAAGGCCGCTTATAAGGAATTGACAGACCTCATCTTACCAATCGAAATGATAAGCATCCGTGGAGGTGTGCGCTTAACTGAACTATGTCCACACATGCATACTTATGTGGCTGATCCACCTCTAAGTTATGCAATTCAACAGCATAACTTTCGTGAGAGTGGTAATAGTGGTTCTAATATGCCCGGAACCAATGAAAGTTCAGTCAATTTGATAGATTTGACCGCGGACTCAACACCTAATTCCGATTCGCAACAGGGAAAATTACCATCTCCGACGCAAAAAGGTATTGACAACAATGAGGAAAAATCTGGCGAATATATGGATGTTCCTGCACACAATTTACGAAAAAGATACTTTTGCGATAGAGTAATGGGCAGTTTCGATCGCACGATTTCGAACGGAATCGTAGTCCAGTGAAGAAAAGAATTTCGAAAAAATCGACATCACGAGCTGCGAAGAAATCCAATAATGATGAATCTACAATGACTGCCTTTCAAGTAAATTTACGTGACGAGCCATCAACGTCGGACTTGAGATATACGGGTGAGAGTATATCTACTGCTCTTAGTCGCGCAAATGCCGTTTTGAACGAGGTTTCGGATGATGAAGAAGACGCAGAACCCATTTCCGGAATACAAGAAGTTGAGGATAATGGCCCAAAATCATCTTCTCATGAAAAATTGGTTGGTTTTGTTATTTATTATTTGTTATTAGAATTTTCAATTTAATTTTGTTTATTTTGATTTTTTCTAGGATTCGATGTCAGAGGAGGTTTCGAAAAATAATCCGGAAACAACCGATGCTGAACCTATATTGGATACTGAGACAGTGACAATGGACAATAATGAATTTTCGAATGAAGAACTTTTCAATGAGTCGGATTTTGCGAATATCATTGATATTGCACCAATGGATCCGGCGTATATTCAGCATGTCATTGATGGATTGTGGCGCCAAGTGGTAGACCATTGTTTTGATGATTCTATTACTGGTCATCAAATGTTCAACAAAATTTTCACTCATCTATTGAACATTAATGAATATTCATCCGCACCACGATCCAACAATGATCTCCGTCTGATTGCTCAGCACGTTGTATCCAATTACGCTGAAGAGCAAATATACGAGTTGTTGTACGTCATTTTGAAATAAATGACCCTTCTCATTTTGGATCATTCGCGATTCAAATTTCATTTCTTTTTTCGATTTTTTTTTTTTTTTAATTTTTTATCTTTCAAAACAAAAACAAAATTATTTTTCGTACTTATTCACAACGTACATTCGGTGCGTTCATATTTAGTTATTAGTTTTTCATTCAATTCATTTATCATCAAAATATCCTTTCTATATTTTAGTTACCAATTTGTGCCATTCAAAAGAAAAATTATATTTCTTCTTTCATTTTCTTTTTAAATAAAACAAAAAAAAAATATTCATTGTGTTTATTTGTTCATTTGCCGCTGTCAAAGAATCGTGTTATGTCAACACTGTTGTTGTAATAAGTCGCCATCTATCGGTTGATCCTCATCTGTATCGTTCAAAAAATCATTTTGATCAACAAATCTTTTGAGTTGATCTTTGTGTGCCCTCGTTATTTTATTTTTTCTTTTTAATTTGACTGAATTTTGTCCAGTTATTTCAATTATTTCGTAAGGGCCCACATATAATTGATCGTATTTTGTTTTTCTGTCTGTGTTCTTCATTAAAACAAAATCACCCTCTTTCAATTCAAGGTTCTTTGTATCATTCTTTTTATCGTAGTATTCTTTGTTCTTTTCTTTTCTTGCTATCAATTTTTCACGAGCAAGTTTCCAACTGTATTTTAAATTTTCTCTCACATCATGAGCATAGTCATCATAATTATACGATTGAGTTGTATTGCCTGTAATGCTAGATGGTAATGCCATTGTTTTACCAAAAACTAACTCAAATGGACTTTTTTGTGTAACTGAATTCACACTAGCATTGTATGCAGATACAACGTATGGAAGTTTAGTTTCCCATTGCGTTGGATTGTCACTTATGTATGCTCTTAACATAGTATGTAAACTGGAATGAAAACGTTCAACAGTATTACATTTTGGAGTAAAGGGGCTAGTGAAAATTTGATGAATTTTCAAAATTTTACATATTTGTTTAATGAGGAGAGATTGAAAAGATTTATGGTTGTCACTTGTGATCTCTTCAGGATAACCATATATCAAAAATACTTTTTCTACGAGTCCATGAGCTGTTGATTCAGCTCCAGTGTCTGGTACCGGTAAAGCGATCGCGTATTTTGTCAATACACATAAAATTGTCAAAATGTAAGAATTTCCCTGAGCAGATGTTATCAATTTGCCGACATGATCGATTGCAATGTTTGCAAATGAAGCTGCTGGCGTTGATGAAATTATTATTGGTTGCCTAGTATGACGAGTAATTTTAGTTTTTTGACATGTTTCACAATTGGAAACGTAGCTTTTTATATCCGATACCATGTTAGTCCAAACGAAATATTTTTT